GAACAACTGCCGTACACCCAACTGACCAAAGGAGAAAGGAAATAGGGAGGCCAAAAAAACCGCTTTAAAGACACCCTCAAGATAAACATCAAGAGATGTGGCATCAACACCACACACACAGCAGCCCAGGATAGGGATAACTGGTGAAGACTTGTCAGAGCGGGAATGTCCATTTTTGAGGAAAATCGACTTGTCCTGGTCACAGAAAAATGCCAGAAAAGAAAGGACAGACAACTGTCACACAGCAATCACGGCCCAGCCCTGTCTTCCAATGCCACCTGCAATGTCTACCAATGAGCCTGCCGCTCAAGGATCGGACTCCTCAGTCACCAAAGGACCCGTAAAAAATAAAACCTATGAAAGAGATCATCCTTGACCTCGAGGGATCACCGACGATGACTAAGACCGCACAGAAAAATCAAGATATGTGAACTGAGGAGAATTCAATTCATCCGTTTTCATAGGGATCCCACTGTAACTCTTAAATAATTCAGTACAGCACATCCAAATGGCAGATTTTCAAGCTCCACCACTGAACAACTGTGGATCAGCCCTGTCCTAGTTCTTGACGGGGATTTAAGGTGGTGGAGGTGTGACTCAGCAGAAACCACATCAGCCAGCAACATCTTTTTCTCGAGGCATAATGCTGATAACAAGCAAAAGATGTTCACCTAAGTAAATGTGGAACAGAAACCCCCCCAGCTCAGTATTAAGTCCATCCCTCTGAACACTGGCCTGAAATCCAGCCTTTCCAAAGGCGGTGTTCTCCTTGCAACTCTCAGGCACCATCCAGTGGCTTTACACTCTCCAGCCAAAATCTTCTCCCGTGCTCAAAGTCTGAGCAGGCCTTGTACATGAGTGCTCCACAAGGGCTAGGGGCTGAGAGAGGCCTTACCCTCAGCCTGCAGCTCATGAACCAGCCTGGTCTCTTCTTGAGTTCAACCACATTAGTCCTGCTGTTAATGAGAGGAGACTCGAGCCACTTCTAGCATGAGACCAATTTCAGCAGGGGCTGAGAAAAACAAAGGGAGGGAACTATGGGAAAGATATGCGTTATAAGAGCAAAATATATTACGCTTGGGCCTTCCTACAGGGAATAAACTCAGTCAGGAAGGCGGGATCAATTCAGAGGAGGTCAGTAATGGAGGCTAATCCAAGGGATGAGTCATGAGGGGGGGTTCGGGTGAGGATAGTGACATGGCTACTCAGAGCAGCTTGTAGCAGATCAGAGGAGCATCAAGGCATGCTGAAGTGGCGCAGCACATGACATGAGTAAGGGGAGCCATAGGAGATGGGGTGGGGGGCAAGATTTCGACAGATCTGTGAAGAGCTTTGAAAGTGGTGGAGCAGAAATGGAGCCATCACTCTGGGAAGTTCAGCTTGAGCTCGGAGAGGCAGTGTGATCTAATGGGCGGGTGACGGGGCTGGGAATCAGGAGACCTAGGTGCCATTCCCAGTTCTGCCACTGACCACCTGGGTGGCCTTAGTCAAATCACTTCACCACTCTATGGCTGTGTTTTCCCTCCCACCCTTTGTCTATCTAGATTGTAAAATATTTCGGGTCGGGGCTATCTCTTACCAGGTGCATGTTTTGCACCTAGCACAATGGGTCTCTCTACAGAGCAACTGTGATATAAATAATAACATGAGAAAGGGGGAAATTACTCTGGGGAGGACAAGGACCATATTTTTCAGGAGACTGCTGGGAAGACCAGGGGAGAAAACACTGATGTGTTAAATAGCACTGCATCCTGCGACTGTGTCTCCTTTGCTCTGAGGGATCGAGAAACATTAGGCAAAATCTGGTTATTTTTCTTTTTTTTTAAAACAAACAATCTTTTCAATTAGACGGGTTTGTCGCAGAGGCAGTAAATCTATGCTTTATAAAAACAAACACTCTCATAATTAGTTCTATCCAGGAAGAAAATTAACTGTTTATCTTTGTGTAATGAATCAAAGGACCCTGCCAGCTTTACCAAGCCACCTCTCCGCAGACTGAGGGTGGGAGCGAGGTGAGAAACACATGATATACAATGACGGGACATCGGGATACCATAGATCGCTCCCCACTCTGCTTGTACAACTGTCCACATGAATTATGTGAAGTAATATTCCAGGCCAAAGAGTTACAGGGCTGTGCAATGGCTGCTACTTGAAGAAACAATAAATAACAAGGGGAACATTTGATACCCTCATTTGTATTAACATTTTTAACAGCGGGATCGCTCTGGCATACATGTGCAGTGGGGCAATCCGGTTCACCTGTCTAATTGGTAAAACCACAATGCCCTTTCACATACAGTGGAAGTTACACCAGGGCTGAGTCTGGCCCAACAGCAGTCAGGTAAATTAGCCTTGGTGTCTTTCCAACCTGAGTAATCACATTCACTCTTCTTGTAGAATTTCCACCGGTGGTTTCATTTGGATAACACACATGCCTTGTTCCACTGAAGAGGTGACTGTCTTTCAGTGATGGGTGTGGCAATCCCATTGGGCCTAATCTTGCCCTCAGCTCCACAGACAAAATGAGCAGGAAGGATGGCCTTTCCTTGTGTCTAGGGAATGAGTTGCCCTGGACTCTGGTCCCAACTCTACTGCCCACTTTCCACGTCACTGGACTTACTCCAGGTTTTCACTAGTGCCAATGAAATCAGAATCTGGCCCATATGTTCTCTAACACCCATTTCCCATCTGTAAATCAGGGATAAGGTTTACCTGTGTCACAGAGATGCTGAAAAACTTAGTTCATTCATGCTGCTAACGCAGTTTGAGATTATTGGACCGAACCGTTAAATATGCAAAATATCATAGCTACCTGAAGGCTATCATTATCTGCAGGCTGAATTATAGGGCCCTCTTTATTTGAATTAGGTTGGTGGCTGCAATATGCTAGGTGTTTTCCAGTCTTGCAGGCTGCAGTGTCTACTGCAAAGAGCACAGAACCTAAGCGACAAACAAGAGCCAAAAGGGGCTGGAGCAAGGATAAACATGGCTACACATTTAACAATACAATTATGCGCGGTGTGACTTGGCCTCTTCTCAGCCACTGTCAGCTGGCAGTTTGTGGTAGACGGAAGAAGATCTTGAGGGATTTAACCAAGGAGAGGGGAATGGCCTTACAGAGATTACGTACGTCTGATTCTGCAATTGACAGTGCATGGATGCACTGCCGAGTCCCTGTCAATAGCAGGATCAGGGCCACAGTATGTGAAGTGTGAGGTGATCCTTCTGGATGCTGGAGATAAGCACGTGAATTTAGATACTGTCATCAGTCAGTAATTATGTTATTGTTTTTATTGTCACAGCAGCACCTTGAAAGCCTGGATCAAGGCGCCACTGAGCTAGGCACTGTGCGGACAAGCAGCAAAGTCCCTGCCCCACAGAGCTCACAGTCTAAGTGCCAGACAGAACACAACAGGGGGATGAAACAGACCGACAAGGTGGGGAGGCTGGAAGCACAAAGCAACATAAACCAAACAGAGTTTAACATAAAGGCAGATGTCTCAGCTCACCCCTCGCCTAACCAATGCCTATAATAGTGAGAAGGTGACTGTGGGTATGGCTACACTGCAGTGCATCCCTGGGCTCAGATTCAGGTTTGACCCCAAACCCACCTTCTGTCTACACACAATTGGATCTGAGGTAGGCCCTGACCCGAGGATCCCACAGGGTGGGTGGATTCAAGTCCAGGTCTCACTAGGACTCATGCCCAAACTCCATTGTTTTGCAGTGTGGACGCAGCTCAGGACTGCCCCCCAGATTCGGGCCCTGAGAGGGCACCAATATCATTCCACAATCCCATGGGCCAATGTTCTTTGTCCTTCCTATCCCAAGAATAGCCAATCAACTCCCAGGAAGTGGAAGCAATTTCCCTTATTTAAGCAACCTAGCGTCAATATGCAGTGTGGCTGCTCAGGGCCTGGGCTTTCAAACCCAAGGTCCGCAGACTTGAGTCCCACTAACCCTGGGCGAGACATACCCTCTGTCTCTCCTTTCCCTGCAGTGCGGAGACTGTCAGCATCCGTGCCAACGGCATCAGGCACGTGGACAAGGTGGCTCTGATTCTCCAATCCTCTGCACCATAATGTTTGCACAAATTGGCTGTACAATATGTTGCTTAACCAGAAGGGCAGATCCATTCTCCATCCCTTCTAGCTGTAGGTGTAAACCCCACTGACGTGGCTAATTACTGCTGATTTATACTATGTCAGTGAGGGCAAAAGCAGGCTCAAAGCTCTCTTTCTGCAGGCTGGTCTGAAAAGCGGCTGTGTCTTCATTGCAAAAAAAACCCAAAACAGCTGCACACATAGAGATGTGCCTTGTCCACACCTATTTTTTGCAGTGAAGACGCTATCACTGCTATGTTGATTTGCAGGTCATTGCGAGCAAAGGGTGCAAAGGTTATCATTCAGAAGACCCCCAATTTGAAAGCCACCCTCTTCCCGCAGCGGTCTCTGCCTTTCTCAGCAGCTCATCTATAAATCTGAAGAAGTAGGAAGTTGAAGTGCAGGTCATTGGAAACCTGATCATTCCCCCAGTTTGCCTGCTCATTAAGGTGAGGTATAACTTTACCTTAACATCACGCGCCTTTCACTTTTCATCTTGCAGCAGCCCCACCGAATGCTAAGCAGGTCACATATGGCCTCTGTCAGCTACACCACAACCTTTTGTACCTTTTAATAAAAACATCATGAGTGTTTTCTTTTCGTTTCCATTTGAACCTGGCCCATCTCGATGATAAGGCTTTGTTGAGCAGCTTTGCTTTCCAAACCCATGACTCTGTGGCCACGGCATGTCCGCTTGGAGACCATAGTCAGGCGTTGTGTGACTCTGTCCTTGTGTGTGACAAACAGGCACTTCATTAACTCCCTGCAGTGGGTTTGCAGATGTGCAATAATGAGAACTAGCCCATCCCCCTCCTTTTGCTTTTTCCAAGTGGGAAGGACTAGTTAGTTCAGCTAAAAGCAGACTGGATTTGTTATCGTGGTGCATAAGTAATTTTCATCATTTTTGAGACCTAAATGTTGGGATTCCCCTGTCACCAGTAAAGAAACTGACACTTCAAAAAAATCTCAATTTTTAAAGTCTTTGAGATGAACAGCCCTTTGTGCTGAAAACAGGATGCATTTCCAGTTCTCAAAGACAACATGGCCCTTTCATGGAAATCTAGTGAAAAACCCTGCATCTGGATCACTTATAACCTGAAATGAAGAGCTGAGTATCTGAAAGGAAGGGCAGTCTTGTCGTTAAGACACCAGCCAGGAGTTCAGGACACAGGGGTTCTATTCCCTACTTTGTCACAGACATTTGTGCAACTTTTGGTAAGTTATCTAATCTCTCCGGGCTTTCGTACCCCATCTGCACAACGGGGTCAATAAAGCTTTCCTTTGTCTGTCTTAGACTGTACACTCTTTGGGGCAGGGACTGTCACAGAGAGGCAGGATGATCCAATGGTTAAGGCAATAGCGAAGATCTGGGTTCAATTCCCTCCTTGGCCAAAAATTGCCAGTGTGACCTTGGATGAGTCACTCCTCATCTGTAAAATGGGGATAATAGCTTAAAGGGGGTTGGGGAGGATAAGTACATTAACGATTGTGCACTTTTAAAATCTACTGATGAAAAATGCTGTAGAAAAGCCAGATATTAGTATCTGTCTGTAGAGTGCCTATCCCATTAGAGATTGGATGGGATCACTAGGTGCTATGAGGTTGTTTGAGGGTGGTGAAACACTGGAATGCGTTACCTAGGGAGGTGGTGGAATCTCCTTCCCTAGAAGTTTTTAAGGTCAGGCTTGACAAAGCCCTGGCTGGAATGATTTAGTCGGGGATCGGTCCTGCTTTGAGCAGGGGGTTGGACTAGATGACCTCCTGAGGTCCCTTCCAACCCTGATATTCTATGATTCTGTGATGAGTAATGTGAATAATAATTGTACATAGAATTTCACGAAAATATTTTCATCCCTTTTACACTGCTCTAGTGATCACTGTTCCCACTAAGCTGTATGCGTGCACACAGATCCTAAACCCTGCGCACACAGTGAAAGACCGTGTGCACAAAAATTTGCACAGAAGCACAACAATTTGCACAGAAGAAATTTTTTGCGCGCGTGGCCTGTCAAAAATTTGCATAGAAGAAATTTTTTGGGCACACGGCCTGTCAAAAATTAGAGGGAACATTGCTAGTGATCATAACAACTGAAAGCACAGTCGCTTTTGATTTATAATTTCTTTGCACTGCTACCACCATCAGAAGCAAGAGAATGAAAGCTAAGCAGGGACGTGTTTTTATACTGTTGGGTTTCTTGGCTTGTTTTGTTTTAAAATATTATTCCACTCCAGCACCTAACAAATGCTTGGGGGAAAGGACATCTTTATTACAGAGTCAACACCCCTATCTTTTCTATTGCTGAGAGCAATACGTTTCACATACATTTACAGTATTATAATACCAGATGGGAAGGGAGTAGAGAGATGCAGGCTTATGAGAAAAGAAGAAATTAACCATCAAGGCCGCCACAGGGGAGGAAAATCCTAGGGGCCCCTATAAAACATCAGTTTCTACAGAATCCAGACTCTCCTCGCTAGTGAAGTAAATGACATCTCATAAGTGAGAGAATCTGGCCCAGTTTTTCAAAACAGAGTTTGGATGAAGGACAACTCCAGCTTGTGACAACCTGCCTGAATGCTCTCGGGTTTGCCTGACAATTGTTTGCAAACCCATCCGCTCTCTGAACCTTCCTACTTCTCCAATTGCCTGACCAGCAAAGTGAAATTCTGTGAGGTATGTGTGTGTTTTATACCAGATGAGCTGGGATTTGGGTAACTTGGACTCCTTCCAGAAGCCTTTCCTTTCACACTGTGCCCTTTATTAAGAACCAAAGTATGTAACCATTGTGGAAAAGGTGTTTATGTTTCTCTGCCTAATAAATCACTTGTCCTTTTTCATCTTTAATGGCCTGAATAGAACCATTTCCCTGGTACTGAATTACTACAGCCAGTATTACCCCCACTCTCCGACCCTTTGTATGGTAGCATATGCCTCCTTGTGACTGTTGCAGCAGGGAGGGTTGAAAGGATTTGGGAGTTAAAAACCCAAATTCTGCTCTCCTGTAGGCCATGATGAATTTTTCAGCCCCAGCAAGGTCTTTGTACCAGATGCATTCGCAATGATCTTCCTCACAAGAAAGGCTAAAAACTTACTGTAAAAAAAAAAGAGAAGAGTTGCAGTTGTGTGACAATGGTAAAGAATTCCAGGAAGAGTTGCAGTTGTGTGACAATGGTAAAGAATTCCAGGAAGAGTCACTTTCTTACACTGAATGACTTTATTAGATCATAGTAAACAGCACTATTGCTGAAGCTTGCTTACACAGACTTCAAGGAGTTTGGGGTTGGGGCCTTCTGCCCGCTCTGTGTTCGTATAGCTCCGAGCACAGTGGGGCCCTGGGCCATGACTGGGGCTCCTAGACACTAAAGTATACAACTGATCAAAATAAAGCTTTTTGAGCTGCTACCTGTAGATCTTCTACCAAATGCCTTCCCCAGCCTCCTCCTGTCTAGCTTCCTGCTACAGAGAGTTATAGGTAGTACACACACTCTCACAAAAGCTAAGATTAGCCTCGATGCTCATTGATTCCCTAAATTCAGGAGGGGTTGGTTTGTAGATTTCACCGATCCCAAGTCTGGCTCGTTAGAATCATAGAATATCGGGGTTGGAAGGGACCTCAGGAGGTCATCTAGTCCAACCCCCTGCTCAAAGCAGGACCAATCCCCAACTAAATCATCCCAGCCAGGGCTTTGTCAAGCCTGACCTTAAAAACCTCTAAGGAAGGAGATAGGTAACCCATTCCAGTACTATACCACCCTCCTAGTGAAAATTTTTTTCCTAATATCCAACCTAAACCTCCCCCACTGCAACCTGAGACCATTACTCCTCATTCTGTCATCTGCTACCACTGAGAACAGTCTAGATCCATCCTCTTCGGAACCCCCTTTCAGGTAGTGGAAAGTATTTCCCTCAACCTTAACTGATTCTGTATATTCCTGTTTGGTTTCTGCAGTTTGTGCACTGGCTCATGGAGCTCCCATCTCCAGTGTAATGTCTTCATGGCAGAGTTAACTTGGGCTCGTACTCCAGTGTTGCCCTTAACCCCCACTCCCATCTACAGACACAACCCACTCACCTTAAGTTTACTGGTGCTTTCAACCCAGGCTAGCGGGTCCGGATGGGGATTTCGGCTACAGCTCAAGTGCTGCTTTCCCTCAGGCTGGTACTCTACCACATTGCAGTGAGGATGCTGCTCGTTCTCCATTGCCTTCCCACAATTCCCTCTGAGTGCTCAGAAAGACAGAAAAGTTCTCCCACAATTCACTAGGGAAGAATTAGAGCATGGCTCAGCTTTATGCTGCAGAAAAAATCACAGGCTATACCCTGAGAAGTCCTAGGAAGCGTAACTCATACCAGGGAGTGTGGCACCAGTGGAGACCCAGTCACTCAGATAGGGCTTTGTAGTGTGGCTGCTCAGGCTAGGCTAACGTGGGTACCACTCACCCAGGTTAACTCTGCAGTGCAGAAATACCCCTAGAAGCTGAATCAGGCTACAGATCCCCACAATTTAGGGTTGAAAACCCTCCAGGATTGTCCTGGAGTCTCCAGGAATTAAAGATTAATCTTTAATTAAAGAGAATGCCATGTGATGAAACCTCCAGGAATTCATCCAACCAAAGTTGGCAACCCTACCCCACGTAACTAATTTGCAACTCTTGTTCTACCATGGGAATAGTGGGCAGAGGGAGAATTATGTCTTGCCTGGAGGATGGGAGGTTGGATTCCACTGCCATCTAACCTACTTTACTCACTCTTGGTGAAGACAACTGGGTGCATTTGAAGCTTGACTCCATAGGCAGATTGCACTGTGCTAATCCCCTAGGAATGCTGCAGTCGTCAGCTAGCCAGGTAAGTGCTAAGGGCTGCATTCCAAAGGAATTATCACTTTCCCATCCTCCTCTGAGCCCACTATTCCCTGGGAAATCCCCTTTGGACCAAGATTTATTACCTTCTTCTCCAGTCTTACATCATCTTTCATTTTCCCCAGACATTTGGACCCCAGAGGAAAGGAAGGAGAAGAATTCCTCACGGCATTTCAGGGAAGGATAACTAGAAACACTGGGTGAGTGAAGATGACCACTGGAAATTCTAGGACAGAGATTAGGTGACTATTCCAATAGTGCACTTCCTTTGACAGTGAAAGGCCCTCCCAAGAGAAATAGTGGAAGCCCAATCACTGGAGTTAATTAAAAGGAGACTGGACAAAGTGCACATGAATATGGGGAATGTAGCATGTGTGAAGGCCGTGCAACCCAGTGGTAGGGCAGTGCACAGTGATGTGAGTTCATCAAGCACCAAGCAGAAAGTGGCCCTGGTCTTGGTTAGGTGCTATGCAATATACTTAATCATTTACTAACAGGGTATGTTGCTGCTCTGCACGCTTTGCCTTTTTCTATAGAGGAGACCATAAGAACAGCCATACTGGGTCAGACCAAACGTCCACCCAGCCCAGAATCCTGTCTTCCGACAGTTGCCAGTGCCAAGTGCCCCAGAGAGAATGAACAGAACAGGTAATCAGCAAGTGATCCATCCCTTGTCGCCCATTCCCAGCTTCTGGCAAACGGAGGAAAGGGACACCATCCCTGCCCATCCTGGCTAATAGCCATTGATGAGTCCTCCATGAGTTTCATGTTGGGGGGACTAATTGGAGTCAGCTGCCATTTTGGGCTCCATTTCATTTGCAGGCTGCTCATCATCATGTTCCCATTACACCTCTGGCGTTTAGGGCAGCGATGAAGCTCCTCCACTCCTGTCTGTTTCTGGCAAGCCTCTCAATGGTTTCCCAGCTGCTACATAGGGCTAATTCTCTTGGAAACATTGGATGAAATCTTGGCTCCATTCAAGTTAATGGTAAAATTCTCATGGACTTCAATGGGGCCAAGATTTCACCCATGATATTTATGCTTTCTTTGTTTCTTATTTTCCTTGATTGGAAATAAGACATTTAGGCTGAAAACACAGGTTTAATTTTTGTCTCGGGGAAAAGGAACATTTTCACAGTGTAGGGATGTGGACCCCGATGACCTGATGGATCATTTCCAGCTTCTTATGTCTTGGATTTTATTATTTTTACCTGACGGCTCACTAGCTAAGTCACCATCCTTATGTCAGATCTGAGCCATCTGGGTTCATTTTATCCAATCAATGCTGTAATTCCATCGAGTTTCTCATCCGTTTCAGACACCGGCCTGAGTTACTATAATCTGTGAAATGCTAAATTGTTGTTATTTTTTTTTACTATTATTGTGGCACCCACAGGCCCCAACTGATGGTAAGGCCCTATTGTGCACAAACACATAGAAAGAGACACCCTCTGACCCAAAGAGCTTACAATCTATGTCAACAAGACCGACAAAGGGTGGGAGGAAGGAAGTAATATTAGCCATAGATTCAGATTCATAGATTTGAAGACCTGAAGGGAGATTCAAGTTGCAGTGGGGGAGGTTTAGGTTGGATATTAGGAAAAACTTTTTCACTAAGAGGGTGGTGAAACACTGGAATGCGTTACCTAGGGAGGTGGTAAAATCTCCTTCCTTAGAGGTTTTTAAGGTCAGGCTTGACAAAGCCCTGGCTGGGATGATTTAACTGGGAATTGGTCCTGCTTCGAGCAGGGGGTTGGACTAGATGACCTTCAGGGGTCCCTTCCAACCCTGATATTCTATGATTCTATGATTTTTTTGGATCATCTCATGTGACCTCCAGCATAATACAGACCAGACGGTTTCACCAAGTAGTTCCTGCATCTAGCCCATAATTTCAGGGAGGTCTAGAACATACCTTTTATTAAGTCATCCAATCTTGAGCAAAACAAATGAGGTAAATGTGATCTAGATGAAATAGGGTGGGTGCACAACTGGTTGAAAGACCATCCTCAAGGAGTAGTTGTTAAAAGTTCACTGTCAAACTGCGGGGATGTATCTAGTAGGAGCCCACAGGGGACAATCCTGGGTCCAGTGCTGTTTAGTATTTTCATTTATGACTTGGATAATAGAGTGGAGAGTATGCTTTTAAAATTTGTGGATGACATCGAACTGGAAGGCACTGCAAGCAACGTGGAGAACAGGATTAAAATTCAAAACAACCTTGACAAATTAGATAATTGGTATGAAACCAACATGATGAAATTCAGTAAAGACAAGTGCACAAAGTACTTCAGTTAGGAAGGAAAAAGCAAATTGTACAATTACAAAATCGGGAACTGGCTAGGTGATACTATCGCTGAAAAGGAGCTGGGGGTTATAATGGACCACAAATTAAATATGACATCCAGACAGATGTGATGCAGCTGCAAAAAAGAAAAAAAAAGAAAAAAAAAGCTAATAATATTCATGAGGTGTATTAACAAGAGTGTTGTATGTAAGATACAGGAGATAATTCTCTCACTCTTCTCAGCACTGGGGAGACCTCAGCTAGAATACTGAGTCTAATTCTGAGCACCGCAGTTTAGGAAAGATGAGGACAAATTGGAGAGAGTCCAGAGGAGAGCAACAAAAATGATTAGAGGGTTTGAAAACCTGACCTATGAGGAAAGGTTAAAAAAACTGGGCATGTTTAGTCTTAGAAAAGAAGATTGTGGGAGGGTGGGGGGAACCTTATAACAGTCGTCAAATATGGTAAGGGCTGTTATGAACAGGATGGGGATCAATTGTTCTTCATATCCCCTGAAGGTAGGACAAGAAGTAATGGGCTTAATCTGCATTAAATCTAGGACGCTCATTTGGGGGTAGAGAATTATAGAGTTCTGTGGATGTTCAGTGACCCACGGGTTAAGCACTCCAGGGGGATTCTCCAAGGACTCAGGGATTGGTGTGTGCCTTTTGCTAACCTGTACAGAGAGAGCGCGAGGCCTGGAAGGCCATGCTTGTGTTGCCTGAAGCTGGTGGAGTCAGCAGCCAGAGACAAGACTTCCTCATGCTGAGGGCAAGTGGTATTAAGGTGTTTAACAGGTGTACTCCGGGAAGTATCACAACACATCTGGACAAACACCTGTCAAAGATGATCTAGATTTATTTGATCCCGCCTGAGCTCAGGAGGCGGGACTAGATGACCCTTTGAGGTCCATTCCAGCCCTACAGTTCTATGATTCTTGATTTAAAGACTCCAAGTGATGGGGAAACCACCACATACTACATAAAGCTGTTCCAATGGTTAATTACCCTCACAGTAAAAAAAATATGCACCCTATTTCTAGTCTGAATATGTCTAGCTTCACTTTCCAGTCATTGGATTTCATTATAACCTCGTCTGTTAGATTCAAGAGCCCTCTACTAATCAGAAAACTTTTCCACATGTAGGTACCTATAGATGTGATAGACTCAGGCCAGTTGGGTACAGCAGAGTAGCGGAAGGCAGATATACTGGCCACTGGATTACCAGTTTTCTGTTCCCTGACTGACCAGAGCAGGGGCTGCTCCAGGCTAATGAGAACACCTGACTCCAATTAACCTGCAAAGAGTCAGGTGACACCATTAAGCTAATGTTACCACCTGACTCTAATTAAGGGGGGGGGGGAGGGATAGCTCAGTGGTTTGAGCCTTGGCCTGCTAAACCCAGGGTTGTGAGTTCAATCCTTGAGGGGGCCATTTAGGGATTGGGGCAAAAATTTGGGGATTGGTCCTGCTTTGAGCAGGGGGTTGGACTAGATGACCTCCTGAGGTCTCTTCCAACCCTGATATTCTATGATTCTATGATTCTAAGTCCCCTCTGATATTATAAAAGGGCTCACTCCAGTCAGGCAGAGGAGAGCCAGGGAGCCAGAGGAGAGGAAGTACGGCTGAAGGGCTGGTTAATGAGTACATCCTCAAGTCATTGGTAAGGGAGCCCTCAGGTAAGGGTGAAGAAGGGAGAAGCAGGAGAGCTGTGGGGAAGTGGCCCAGGGAAATGTAGCAACTCTGGCAGTGAAAGATTGGCTGCCAACTGATACTACCATTTAGGGTCCCTGGGCCGGAACCCAGAATAGAGGGCGAGCCCGGGATCCCCCCGCCCCCGCCCTCCAACCCGCCACTACAGAAACACCTCCTGGGAGGGGAAAAACAGGCCCCTGTCAGGACAGGAGGCTAAACTGTTTTGCTATAAGGCCGTAGGAGCAACAGAGACTGTGAGAATTCTCTTACCAACTTCCTTGCTGGCTTATGATGAAAAGGGCTCAGTAGACTGTATCCCTGGCCCTAGAGAGAGAAGGGCTATATGGAGGGTTGCAGTGAGCCTCTGAAGCTAGCATAAACCACCTGGAAGCTTGGGACCCATGGGGACAAGGTCGGAGCTATGCCACAACTGGTATCAGGAGTGGGATTTGTGATTGTTCACAGCGTGGTGGAACAAAGAGGTTAAAAAAAAAAGTACACTCAGGTTTTTGGTGTTGGGTTTTTGTTTGTACCACAATGGAGGAGGTGGTGAGAGCGCTGGTGCAAGCCACAGAGGCCCAGCAGGAGGCAACCCGGGCTCAGGCAATGGAGCAACAGGAGTCCATGAGGCTACAGCAGGAAACCAACCAATTATTAATGAGCCAGGAGACCCAAGATTGAGCCCTCCTGCGCGAGAAAATGGACCAGCTGAATATCCTCACCATCCAGGTCTGGGGGTCCGATGGGACCCGAACCCTGAGGGCAACCGGTTGTCTGCCAAAGATGACAGCAGAGGATGATGTAGAAGCATATGTCCTCTCATTTGAAAGGTCTGCTCAGCGTGGGGCCTGGCCCCAGCAGCAGTGGGCCAGCATTCTCGCCCCGTTTTTTGTGTGCGGAGAGGCCCAGAAGGCCTACTTTGATCTGCCCACCGAGGACGCTGCTGACTATTTCAGGCTGAGGGCAGAGATCCTAGCATGATCAGGGATGACGGCAGTGGTACGGGCCCAGAGGTTCCAGGAGTGGAAATACAGGGAGAATAAACCTCTGAGGTCCCAACTCTTCTACCTTATACACCTCACTCGGAAGTGGCTGTGGCCCGAGGCATGCAGCCCAGATGAGATTTTGGAGACTTTGGTAATGGACCATTACGTGCGGGGACTGCCACCAGATCTCCGCAAATGGGTATGCCAGAATGATCCGTCCACCTATGACGAAA